TTAGCACTTGGCTCCAGCATGTTGTCATCACTCCAACCAGAAACTGGTTGAAATGCTACTGTGTCAGGGTTGTAGCCAATTTTCTTAATGTAGGTGCTGACTTCCTTAACGATTCCCTCCTATCTCTTCTGGCTATATGTTAGCTCAGTAGAATCCATTTTGCTAACATCAACAATAAGCTGTTTCACACCTACTGTGTAAGCCAGAAGGGCAGGCTCCCATTCTTGGCGATTCCAGCATCAAGCCCCCAACACCAGCACCAACAATGAGGACAGCACAATCAGCCCGTGATGTTCTTTCATAAAGTCTCTATGTCCAGGCGTATCGATGATGGTCATGTGATATTTGCTGTTCTCAAATTTCTCAATATCATCATCTCTCAATATTGATGATGCCACGTCATGTTCAGCTTTCAGTTAATCCGCAACCCAGGCAGCCCTGAACGAGCCTTTCCCACCTCACCAGATTCCTTCCCCAAGCTGCCTTGTGACGGCCTTGCTAGAATCGATGTGCCCAATGACAAGGATATTGATATGGCTATTGTCCTTTCCCATTGGCCTAGGTTTTATTTTTTTCTCCAAAAATCATTTTATTAGGGGCTCATACAACTCTTATCACAATCCATACATACATCAATTGTGTAAAGCACATCTGTACATTCATTGCCCTCATCATTGCCAAAACATTTGCTCTCCTCCTAAGCCCCTGGCATCAGCTCCTCATTTTCCCCTCCCTCCCCGCTTTCCCCTCCCTCATGAACTCTTGATAATTTATAAATTATTATATTGTCATAGCTTGCACTGTCCAACGTCTCCCATCATCCAGTTTTCTGTTGTCTGACCCCCAGGGAGGAGGTTATATGTAGATCCTTGTAATCGCTTCCCCCTTTCCAACCTACCCTCCCTGGTCTAGGCTTTTGCAATGGTTTTCACTTCCACCTGTATTCTGGCTGAAAATCCGTTGTGAGGAAGGAAATAAAAAAAAAAGCTGTAGGCTGTAACTCTTTACATGAGTGGAAACCTGAACGTTCTCCTGAGTAGCAGCTGATGGTTTAGATCTACTGACCTTGTGATTAGCAGCCCAACCTACAGCCCACTATGCCACCAGTGCTACCAAACAACAAGAATCACTGCCAACTCATAAAGACCTTACCAGTTGGTGGCTTGGAACTGCTGACCTTGTGGTTAACAGCACAAGTCAGTAACCCACTACACCACCAGGGTTCCAATTCAAATTATCTGAATCTCAAGCAAGGGGTGACTTAAAAAATGACTAAAGAATAGTCAAATTGCAAGGAAATTTCCATATACCTGGAGTCTACAAATCTTTTTTGTCTAGAAACTTTTTGAAATCTTGTGGGGAAAAAATTCATCGAAGAATTTCTGTGTAATATAGAAATAACAAAACCATGTAAGTATAAAATTACAAGAGATCTTAAACAATTTAAATGAACATTTAAAACAGAAAGCATCTAGGGATACTGAAAATAAATGAGAGCAGGTTTCAGTAAGATTGGTTAGCAAAAATAATTAAAATAAGTCTTCTGTTTCATCTCTATAGCAGTTTTACTTGCTTATGACTTCCAACTTTGTCTTTATTTCTTCCTAACTGGAAAAATAATTTTTTAGAAGTTACTTCCACAAAATAAAATTTTATTAATCAAATTGCTTCACAGCTACTTTAAATGAATCAGAAATGTACAAAGTGTTTCACATCTAGAAGGCATTATTCTTTTGTATCAAAAATAAGTGTATATCTTCACATTCAGTTTATCTTTATCAGAAACTTCACACATTGGAAATTATTTGCCACCCTAGAAATTCAAGGAAAATTTCTCTAATCACAGGTTAGAATTCCATTTCAAAAGGGCTTTGATAATATCTCACAGTTTCTCAACTCCTCTTTGTCCCCTTTCTCTGGGGAAACAAATTCTAGTCTTGCTAACGTAAGAAATTTTCAATAAATTTCACATTTTCTTTAGAAAGCCAAGAAACCCCACTGGAAATTTCTGGAGTCCACAGATCTTTGTGTCTAGGAAATGTTTCTATGTCTGTCACAGACTATACATTTTCAGTGTTACGTTTGATGCATGAAACTACAAAAACAGAACAAAATCCTAAAATACGAATTAAAAAACAAGATACCAAACAGTGTACAGGTCTTAGACTGATGACAAGGTTTGGTTCCAAGAAGTCCATTGGAAGTCAGGTAATGACAAACATCGCATACCTTGTTTGTTTTCCAGTGTTCCTTAATACAGCCATGTATTAGTATTTTACAAATCTGCTCTTCATTTGCCTCAGGAGGTTGGAAACATTACATATATATTTTAACTTATAAAAACATACAAATTACTAACTATAAATGTCAACAATAACAAAAAATGCCAGTTCTAAATGTCATAACTTAGGGGTTACCTGGGTAAAACATGTTAGTGTGCTTCAAGCTGTATAGACAATTCCAGAAGAAACAGTGACACTCATGGACTCTGAGGAGAGGAACTAGGAGACTGTAGGACAAGAGTAAGAAAGAAATCTTATTTCACTGTATCCCTTAGGTGGTATTTGCATTTTGGGGGTTTTTTTGTGTGTGTGTGTGAGGGCTAACATTATTTTTAAAAAGGACACTTTTTAAAAACAAAAAGGATACTGGGGGCTGGGTGGTGGGAGCCAGAGGTCCAAAAGAGAAATGACTGAGAGATACATTTCCTGTGAAATCCAATTTACTCATAGTATTTAAGAATCTATTGAGCATACATTTTTACACATAATTTAGGCAGACAATATAATTAACTGAATCTGATTAACAGCTTCAATGGGAATGCTAGCCAGATTGTTTAAACCAATAAATGCCTGTATATAAATGTGCATATACCTCCTCCAGATTTGTCCTGTTTTTAGAACCATCTGCACAGTGTTTCCAGCATGTAGGTAAATGAGACTAAATGACTGATATGGAGAAATGTTGAAGATTGTGGAATTCCCTTTTCTTCACAACCTTTTACCACCAACAAAAGAGTAGCGTTTGTCATATCAAAGTCCTAAGAGCGACTCTCTTCAGAGAACTTCCAGTCATAATAAAGTGCTCTTGTTTAAAGATGGGAGTCTTACCAACATAAAAACACTTGTAGCAGGACCCAATATGGTAAAAATGAAAGTGTAAACACTTTTTCAGTTTGGGCAACATAATCTATGTGGAGAATGAGATAATGGGCGTTATTTCTGCAGTATATTTGAGCTTTACAATACATGATTTGGAAATTATTTCTATATTCATAGATATAATGACAACTATTTTTTACTTAATCTACTTTCTCTGAGAAAAATTTGGAATGCAAAAATTTCTTCCCTTTTTTAAAATTTAAGATAATAAATACATGTAAACAATATAATTTGAATTGAACCAGAAAGTTAAAAGACAAATAGGAAAAAATCAGAAAAATCAAAACCACTTAAATAAACACAAAAATGCTTCATACCACTAACTTTTAAAGAAAGAAAGGTAGGCAATTCCAGTGTGGGTGAAGCTGAAGAGCTAGCCCAAGTAGCTCAAGCTCAGGAAAGACCTGTAAAAGGAACATCATGTGAACATTGTACAAGAGGAAGTACTTTTGCCAAGTCATTAACCGAGGTCTGCAAATATTTCATGTAACTGTCTTTTATTCTTTTAGCATTCCTAAATATGCCTCCTTGTCACATTCTCCCCATTGGTGATCCTACTGGCTTATCCCTCTAGAAGTGGCAGGTTATTTGCAAAACCAAATGGAAATGGACAAAGAAATATGAGCAAACCCTCAGAGGACATTACAAGAAAAAGGCTGAAACTAAACTGTTAAAAGAATAAGTCACAGTGTTTATAAGGCTATCAGGTTAAACTTAGCTATTCACACACCTTTAAAAAAGAAAAGCAATAAAATCTTGCTTAAGAAAGCACAAACCGGGTTTTGCTTTTTCCTGTCGGCAAGCTCCAAGAAAACCCTAAAAGCTGCATTGTGTCCCCTACCATTTTTTAATTACAAGATTGTTTTCTTGTACTACGAAACGTAACCAACATGCTTGGTATACTTCTTTTGTCTTACTTACTCTTTGTCTTGTTCAGCTTTTGGTGAGGGTTCGCAATGTTAAGTTTTTCTGTGCTCTGCAGGTAAATTCCCTAATTAGAGGGTCGCAAACTTTTCTTTAAAATTAATCTACTTACCGGGTTTTGTTTTTTTCAAGGGCAAACTACTGTTTTGACCTGATCTCTGCATCCATTTCATATTCCTTGACCAGGTTCACAGAAAGACCCGCTGAAAACACTTTGGATTTTTCTTGCCCGCTCACTGGATCGTGGTAGCAGTTTATTTTCTTGAAAAGGAAGGAGAATGAGGGAGGGGACACAAAGGAAAGGCAAGAACTTTACAGGTGCAAGTTGAACAAGATAGAGTCTAGAAATAAAAATGTACTCTCTTTCCCTCGTCCTACTTCCATCCCCACCGAGTGAAAACAGAATACGTACAAGTTAGCATCTATTTGTGTCTCTGTTATGTGTTTTCTCTCCCCTTTGGATTTGGATACTTTGAGCTAATTTGGAAGTGCCCGTTTGGTTGCCCACAAAGTGATGCTTAAGGGTCTAAAGATGCATACATTAGGGAGCCGTACAAAGGCAGAGGGCTGTCATTGTACCACTTCTCTTTATGTGCCTCTATGGTGAGACCCAAGGGTCTTTTTTAAATAACACTTTTTCCCTTTTCTTTTTCTTTTTCACACTTTAGCTGATGGAGTGGGTGAAGGGCTGGCCGCTCAAGAGGGCAAGGTGAGCCCTGCAAACAACTCCCTAACTTAGGAGCACGCCCTCCTCCCCAATTACACACTGGGCTTTGCAAGGGAGACACTTTAGAAAAATCAGGACGCGGTGGGGAGAAGCGCGGAGTCCTTCGCTCCCTGCCTCCACGCCAGTCCGGGAGCTTCTACGTCTTGTGCTCCGCGCGGTGATAACTGCCTGGGATCCGGTCGGGAAGAATGAGGAAAGCCAAGGGCAATGATCTTTCCAAGAAACACCAACAGACCCCTTTACCTTTCCTGGCCTCCATGATGGCAAACGGGGGTGGGTGTGCGAGAAAAGATGTCAATGACCATTGTTTGCTCGTTCGCGAGGTTGCTCCGCCCCTCGGGGCTGTCGTCAACCTGGCGCCCGACTAAAATCCACCTCAGACGCCCGCGCTCCGGTGCTGGCCGCCGACTCCGGTCCCGGG